CCTTTTTCTTTGTATCATTCTTGTTTTTGTTTCTAGAAGGGTAAAATGTATGTCCCCTTTTTTCATGTATTCTTTTTTGTTGCATTTGTGTTATAAGGGATAAGGTTTATATTCCTCAATTAGGTCTAACTTATTATTTATCAACAAAATTTTTCTCGTTTTCTCAAAAAAATTTGGGAGTTTTATTTTTATTTTTATTATTATTATTATTATTGGTAGAATTAGGAGTTTTATTGTCACAAAGCATTTCCACTGTTTTTTTTCTTTCCGATTCAACTTCGACTGTTCAATTCAACATAATGCATCATATTTTTAACCCAAACAAAAAAGAAGAAAAAGCATAAGATATATCAAATTTAATTAATTAATTAATTAACTAACTTATCCATGGGGGGGCCTTTAGATTTTATCTTATTTTAAAGTGACAGCTATAACTTACAAGTTTGATGGATACCCCATTTTTAGGTTATCTTTCTTTCTGTCTCTCTCTTTCTCATTTTTAGGGCTTTCTCTCTCCTCTCTCCTCTCTCCTCTCTCCTCTCTCCTCTTTCCTATCTCTATCTCAGAAGTTTCTCTCTCCTTCTCTCTCAGGTTTCTCTCTCCTCTCTCCTCTCTCTCTCTCTCTCTCCAGAAGGGCAAAACCCTAAAGAGCCGTTTACACCCACCCAAGTAAGTTTTCTCTCTCCTTGCTGCTCTCTCACTGTCTCTCTCCCTTTCTAAAATTTGAATATATGGGTCCTTATACTATTAACCTGCCATTTACATTCTTATGCATATTTATTTATTTGAAAGCTTCAAACTTTATTATGAATTTGTTATTTTTTCTCCTTATTATGCCCAGATCTCAGATCCCAATTTCTCAGATTAGGAAACCCTAATTTGTTGTATTTGCTTTTGGATTGAAATTCAGATCTGGGTGATGGTCTGTTTACTTGGGTTCTGTTTGGTTGCTGAGAAAGTGTATGAAATGCACAAAATTTTTTATCCTGGGATTCGCATGTTTATTGATTCGGATTGGAGGGATTTCACTTTTTTAGAACTAAGCCATTGGATGAAAATATGTGCATACTTATTACCAATTGCATGTTTGCAGTTTAAATTTTTGTTCTTTTAGATCTGAAAGGGGGATTAGGAAAGATCAATAAGATTTGTAACTTTGTAATTTCCTTCTTGTTCTCAGCTGTCAAAAAATTGCTAAATCTTTAATTTAATGGGAAGATCCAATATTTGGCAGATGATATTGTTTATAATTTTGCCTCGTTGGTCCTCATTTGTGATTGGATTGAGCTATATGCTTTGTTTCTCTGTTTGTATGTGTTTTTGTATTATTGCTATCCTGTTGTTTTCGATTTCTATGGCCTCGGAGGGCTATAAGGTGGTAAGTTTTAATGTTGTTCAAAGACTTTCATTAGAGGGCCTATGCGAGACTAAACGATGTTTGTTTGTCTTGTTGAATCCGTAGCTCTCATGGATGATGATGCATTGAACATGCGCAATTGGGGTTACTATGAGCCATCTTTTAAAGGTCATCTTAGCCTGCAGCTCATGTCAAGCATGGCAGAGCGCGACATTAAACCTTTTGCCCCTGGGCGCGATCCTGCAGTCATGGTTAGCGCCAACGGAGCTTATCACCCTCGGGATTGTGTTGTATCAGACGCTCAGCTTCCTATGAACTATATGAGGGAGAGTTGGGTAAACCAGCGAGATAAATTTCTCAATATGATGCCTGCCAATCCTAACTATGCTGCTGTTCTTCCGGAAACTTCAGGAGCTCATTCCTTGCAGATCTTACAGCCACCGGAAGCGTCAAGGGATGAGCGGGTGGGTAGGATGGAAGAGCCAGTTGTCCCTAAGGAAGGTGGCACCTCAAAGAAAAGACAGGGTGGGGGTGCACCAAAAGCCCCAAAAGCGAAAAAGCCCAGGAAGCCAAAGGATAATGCCAATCCTTCAGTTCCTCGTGTGAAGCCAGCAAAGAAGAGTTTGGACGTTGTGATAAATGGGATTAACATGGATATCTCTGGTATTCCAATTCCCGTCTGCTCATGCACTGGAGCTGCACAACAGTGTTATAGGTGGGGGTGTGGTGGTTGGCAATCTGCTTGTTGCACCACAAATGTATCTATGTATCCTCTGCCAATGAGTACGAAGCGACGCGGGGCAAGAATAGCTGGAAGAAAAATGAGTCAGGGTGCTTTCAAGAAGGTGCTGGAGAAGCTTGCAGCTGAAGGTTATAATTTTGCTAACCCAATTGATCTAAGGTCTCACTGGGCAAAACATGGTACCAACAAGTTCGTCACTCTCAGGTAGAGTTACTACGTTGGTAACCATTAGTGGGACTTACATTGCATTTGGTCTATTTCACCTGTATATATTTATGTGGCCTTTTGCAGAGATCTTTCAGATACTTTGTAGTCATTTAATTTTCAGTCAGGATGGATGATACTTGTTCTTAAATTTGGAATTGTTCTTTTTGTTAATTTTTTTCCTTTCGGCTTCTGTTAATGGCTGACTTTTCTTCTGGCCACCAGGATTATATGGATGAGTTGTTATTTATTGAATTGTTTTTGGTTAGGATTCAATCTCCGTTTAATCTAATGTTCGCAATATTTGGCACTGAATGCTCTTTTTTTTTCTTATTAATCTGTTGTTGTCAACAGTGTAGTTTTCAATGTGAATTGCATCTCTGGCTTATATCTACTTTGTTCCGTATCACGATCGCTTTTCAATTTTTATACTCTTGGTTTTGCCTAGTTTGATAAGTGTCAATATTTGTGTGTTTCAAGCGTTGTACTCGTACATCGTGTATGTTTTCCGTCAGAGAGGAAAGTTTTGTATGAGAAAAATAGGAACTAGAGAAGTGACAGGTTTAGGAAAGGGATTTAGAGTCTAATACGTGGACGTTGCTGTGTGTCTTCCATGTCTTTTACTTTCGTTTCTAACATTGACGATTGCCTTAAGGAGGAAACTGAGAGTTCGATCGGAGGTTCATCGATAGTACTGTTGTCTTGCGGAACCTGGTTGAGGTAGTACATCAAAAGATTACAAGTAGATGGAGAGACCATTACAAGCAATCCTCAACTGGAAGATCCAAAATGAAGTTAGGTGGACTCGGTAGCCATTCGCAGTGGGAGCCGAGTTGGTTGATGGGCAACTGTGTTTGCTTGGCGATGAACATGGAACACAAATCTTCAGTGATAGATGGAAGAAAAGCCTTTGTGTCCTCCACTAACTGGGCGATGGATGAACAGTTAGGGGAAGGATCTGCTAGCGCTCCCAGAATCTGAAGAGAATCACCTTCGATTACTAGATTTTTTAAAACCCCTTGTCGCCGCCCAAACCACACACCCCCTGGATGCCAAGGCTTCTGCGTGGAGAGGGGACGAGACATTATGAAAGTTCCGACGGGCGGGCGCCACAAAGATCCCCGCGTCGTCTCTCACAATGATGCCTACACCTCCCAAATCTTTTTAAAGTGATGTCAATGAGATGAGTTTATGTGAGATCAGGACATGTATGAAGAGTCTCTGCATTGTACTTGAAGCTGGACTTTGGAGGTTCAGCGTATACAAATATGGCGGTCAATAACGAAAGTGAAGGGATTATTAAGGTGCAAAGATTATGAAATATGGTGGCAATTAACGTCACAGTGACGGTGTAGATGTGTTTAGACAGGAAAGATTACTGGCCATGAACTGAGACAAAAGCAGAGTTAGCGGCTCGAAACTTTTCTTGAAACTCAAATTCCGCCATTTAACTTCCTAACACTCGATTTTTGCTCCACATTGTCTTTTCTGTCTGGTCTGTAAATTTGCTGAGCGGCGTGAAGATTACTTATGTGGCGTCAATGTGGTAGAAAGGAAAGTATTTTGGTCAAAACATAGAAAATTTAAAGAAATGAAAAAGAAAAAAAAATGCAAATTCCATCTCCTCCCCGTGCCTTCTTCGGTTCTTCACCTCTCTCTTCCTTTTCTTCTTAGGGGTGATAATTTTAACCGTTAAACTCGATAATCGTGGATAACCGTCCGAATATATTAGATTTGGGTATATTTTGGGTCGGAAAAAAACCGTGAATATTATTCAGTTATAGTTTTGGATATGATTATGTGGGTCTTCGATCCATTTCCGTACCCGAATCTGAAATTAATAATATATAATATAATTATGTATAATATTAAAGTATTATATAATATATGTATATTCATTATTCACTTAATCTATTACCTTGAGAATACAAAAATTGCATTGTATGAGTTGCATTTTGTGGTAAAGTTCAAAAGTTTTATTATGAATCCAAAACTATGAGAATTTATGGTATTTATGAGAGTTATCAAAGATCAATCAATATTATCAATGTTTAGCTTTAATTTTTATTCTCCACAAGATCCATTAATTAAATCATTTTATACATCAAATATTTAATGACGAAATTAATACTAAATTATCATGCGTCATCCGGTAAGTATGGTTATGGATAGTACTAGATAGTTAATTTGCGGTTATAAATATGATTAATTTTCGTAGTTATGGGATGAATATAGTATTTCTGTCTTCAAACCGGTCCGTTGCCATCCCCAACCCCCCTCCTCCCCCGCCCCCCCCCCCAACAATTTGGATCATTTCCTGAGCAGAGGGTCCGAATCCTATTGACCAAGCAACAAGGACTGTTGGATCAAAATCCAACGGCTACCATTAGAGCAGTGCAAGCTCTGAACTTGAACATTGGAGTGGTGGCTATGGTGGTTGGTCCGAGTATCGATCAATATCTACGAGACTAAAAATCGTATATTCGACAAAATCTCAAAATATTGTCAATGATTCAACAATTGGGATTTGTATCTTCATCATTTCGACCAATTTCTAAATATAATAACAACACCAGAAGAAATTGTATAATATAGACTACAGTACCTACATATTCCAGATAATAATTCACAGATGGCATACTTGCACATACATAATGTCAATTCATCAAATTAATATGATGATTAACAAGTAAAACAAAACAAAAAAAGAATCACGAAGAAATCAAGCTCAAAAAATTAATCTATAACAGTAAGGCTCAACGGGGAAGGATATAAGATCCACAAAAATTGGGAGAACATGTTTGATGAATTAAGCTGCGCACGGGGACAAGGGAATTAATCAAACTCTTTCCAACATTTTTAACCACAACAAAAACAACAACAATTATAGTCAGAAACTAATCAAATCTGGAAGAACTTGGTGGTTATGTGCAGCATGTACTGGATGATGATACGGTATTATATTTTTCGACGACGGCGCAAAAGGGTTTCTATATTGTCCTTGTACCCCGACCCCGATAGCACTATTGCTCGTATTACTGTAGCTGTATCCGCTCACATCCGAGAAACCTGATGTATCTGCGCTCACCCAGCTGATTAAATCCTCTTCAAACACCTCCCATTTGTCCGTAATTATCGTCTTGGATTTCTTCGACGTCGGTTTCTGCATGGCCACGATCGCCTTATTGTCCTCCTTTTTCTGAGCCGCTGCCATCCGATCGCATTCCACGAAGCTTTCCTCCATTTTCGACGCTTGGTTGATTATCCGTTCCAGGTCTCTGATGTCCTCTTCCGGAATCTGTTCGACTTTAGGACAATCCGCCGTGCTGAGGATGCCCATATCCATGCAGTATTCGAGGTATAAAGAGAGCTCCTCCCCTTGAACCGCCGCCTTCTGAACAACCCCGAGCGCCATCTGCGCCTCCTGTTTGCCTGGCGAAGCGTAAATCCTCAACAGCACTCCGGCAATCCCTTTAGAGACTCTGCTGTACACGTCGAAGATCTCCGTCAGTAAACATATCATTGCTTCGGAAATAAGATAAACCTTGTTGTTATTGTATGTGTGATTAGTGCGATGCGGACTGATCGCTTCGGGCTTGATCTCGAGGAGCATATCGAGCAACGACTGCCACTTTTGCAACCGCCCGAGCTCCTCCAGCAGAGGCGGCTCCTCCTGATCGGATTTTCTGTTGTTCTTCTTCACCAACGTGCTAAAAAACGCGGATCTCTGATCCAAGTACATAAAATACGCGCGAACAAACGCGTCGTAGGCCCACGTTTTGCTGGGCTTAGAATGTTTGTCGCAGAAGTTGGAGAGGTCGAACGGCAGCCGCCCTATCTTTTGGACGGAGGGGATTTTGCAGCAGAAAATGCCGTGCATGAGCATTAGGCCTTTGAGGGCGACGACCCAAGAGCGAGTTTTTTCCATGCGCGTGGAGAGCGCGTAAAGGAGGGGCTTGTGGTAGAGCGGAGAGGTGCGGACCCATTGGTACACCCTGTGGAAATTCTTGTAATCGACGGTGGTCTCGTCGTGGCTGGTGGCTTTGATGATGATGGCCTCCAAATCAGGGTTGCGGAGCGACGTTCGCCGTGAGATGACGGCCACCCAGATGCTGTTCCGGTCTTTGATTAGCCCGGCAGCCTTTTTCCACAGTTTCATTTCCCCACCCCTCTCTCTCACTCTCTCTCTCTCTCTCTCTCTCTAATTCTAATTGGTCACCAGCACCTTCTCATGAAAACCCTCCTTACCCTTGTTTTAGCACTCTAATTACATTGTTTTTTTGTTTTTTTTTTTCAATTTTCCAATTTGGACCTTTGGAGATGGGAGGATTTGGACAGCCTATGGCTATATTTGGGAGGTGAGTAAATTGGGAACATCTTTTTTAAGTGATTTTTGTTGAGTTTTGTTTTGTGATTGCTTTTATTGGACTTGTTTTAAAGGTAGGCTATGCTTCTCACACGTTAATTAACACGCTTCTATTTTCAAGAGAAAATAGTATACTACATATATATACCCCAATAGGCCAGAGGGGCTTTATATGATATGAACCATGATGATGATGAATGACTGAAATTAAATATTTTAGAATGACCACTTATAACGGTTAGATCTTTAGTTAAGGATTCAATAATTAAGAATTTAATGACTACGGATCTCCCAATCCGTATGCTAGACAAACTCACTTGTAATAATGATATTTAGACGTACCAATTATGACCACGTCTCTGATACATGTTAAGGAAATCATAACTTGTGAGATCTATATGTATTAGAAAGTTAGTCTCCAAAGTGATCAGTTTTGTTTGTTTAAATGTCTTTGATGAGTAGCTTGAGCTTAAAAATTCAATAATATTTATGTAAGTCAACAAATTGTAAAATAATGCACATGCAAGTGATAAACTATGATTGAAAATAGTACATGAGACAACAAAGTCTTCTAACGATCACGTTGTAGATACACTCTGTGTTTTGTGGAGGGGACAGCATAATGTATTTGCGTTGAATGAACAAATTAGGGTTAACTGTATTTTACACCACAAAATTTGAGTTATTTGCGAAAAGAGATATGAGGTTTAAAATTTTGCATTTTAAATCACGTTTTTTAATCGTACCAATTTAACATCTTCGTTAATTTCACCATCTAATTAGACGTTAAATACTAATGTGATATATATTGGTGTAATTTAAAACCCACGTACATAGTGATGACCTCAAAACCTTATGATGTAAAATGCAGGTAACCCAACAAATTAATTGAGCAACAACAACAACAACAACAACAACAAAGCCTTTTCCCACTAAGTGGGGTCGGCTATATGAATCCTAGAACGCCATTGCGCTCGGTTTTGTGTCATGTCCTCCGTTAGAACCAAGTACTCTAAGTCTTTTCTTAGAGTCTCTTCCAAAGTTTTCCTAGGTCTTCCTCTACCCCTTCGGCCCTGAACCTCTGTCCCGTAGTCACATCTTCGAACCGGAGCGTCAGTAGGCCTTCTTTGCACATGTCCAAATCACCGGAACCGATTTTCTCTCTCATCTTTCCTTCAATTTCGGCTACTCCTACTTTACCTCGGATATCCTCATTCCCAATCTTATCCTTTCTCGTGTGCCCACACATCCCACGAAGCATCCTCATCTCCGCTACACCCATTTTGTGTACGTGTTGATGCTTCACCGCCCAACATTCTGTGCCATACAACATCGCTGGCCTTATTGCCGTCCTATAAAATTTTCCCTTGAGCTTCAGTGGCCTACGACGGTCACACAACACGCCGGATGCACTCTTACACTTCATCCATCCAGCTTGCGTATTCTATGGTTGAGATCTCCATCTAATTCTCCGTTCTCTTGCAAGATAGATCCTAGGTAGCGAAAACGGTCGCTTTTTGTGATCTTCGCTAGATTGCTCCGGTCATTAGTGTGGATAAGTATATAAATGGATAGAGATAGGAAAGCAAACACAAGATGTACGTGGTTCACCCAGATTGGCTACGTCCACGGAATAGAAGGAGTTCTCATTAATTGTGAAGGGTTTACACAAGTACATAGGTTCAAGCTCTCCTTTAGTGAGTACAAGTGAATGATTTAGTACAAATGACATTAGGAAATATTGTGGGAGAATGATCTCGTAATCACGAAACTTCTAAGTATCGGAGTGTGGTATCGTCTTGACTTGCCTTATCTGTCTCATAGGTAGATGTGGCATCTTCTCTGGAAGTACTCTTCCTCCATCCAGGGGTGGTATCTTTAACTGGTGGAGATGCACAAGGTAATGTATCAATTTCACTTGAAGCTTACTTGTAGTTTCAGGCTTGGTCAAGCGCGATACAAACCATGTAGTAGGAGTCCCCCAAGTCGCCGAGCTAGGGGATCTGCTGAAAGAGGTGACAGACAAGGTAAGCAATCAGAGCTCCGGCTGATTGTTCACCTTCTCCCTATCTTGCAGGCAGCATGAAGGATAAAGAGAAGAAAAATGAGAAGAGATGATATGGGATACTTTTGCTTTTGAAGAAGTAACTTTCCACAGGCTTATTCTTGAACTGAGCTGGAGGGTTTTCTGGTTTCCTCCAGAGTATAAGGCCGACTGAAGAATTTGAGGGTCAAAACAAGTCCATCAAATCTAGAGTACGTTCGACCCTGCTGATATGGGATACTTTTGCTTTTGACAGAGTAATGGATGTATCGGCACGTGTGCTGTTACGCTTGTCTCCACATGCTTCCTTGTATCCTTCTCACTTGCCCTATCTGTTCCTCAAGCAGATGCGGTATCTTCCCTGGAAGCATAAGATGTTGAAGATGAGTACTCGAGAGCAATGCCAGGTAAGTAATCAGGTAAGGGGTTCCAGGCAGTCAGTTCCTGGCTGGAAGCTTGATTCCAAGTGCTGACTGATTGCTCTCTTTCTCCTTGTCTTGCAGGTAAGAACAAGGCCAAAGGAAAAGACAGGGAAAAAGCATGATATGGGATACTCTTGCTTTTAACCCTGATGATATGAGATATTCTTGCTCTAGTATAGCTTGTTTGCAGAGGTATTATCGGGGGGAAAGAAAGCTGAATATTTCGAAAGGCTTCGTTGGGAGTGCCCTCTCAGATATGAGGAAGGGTTGAGCATTTTTGCAGGTCTGCCTGTCCGTTGGGGATGGAGGTCGACATATATAGGAGTCTCCCTAACAACAAGTAGTAATGCTATTCCTTTTATACACCTGTCAGAGCACTTTGAAAAAGTGGTCTGTGGTATCTGGAAAGCTGATGTTGCGTGTGAAGATTACAGACAAGCTTTATCCAAGGAGATCCGGCTCTTGAAGTTGGGAAAGTGGTGCCTCTTCGGTTTTCGAACAAGCAATCCTGTCGGGATCTGGCTCTCGAGATTCGGGAGAACGATGCCTCTTCGATTTTTGAGAAAGCAATCATGCTGGGGGTCTGGCTCTCGAGATTCGGAGAGCGGTGTCTCTCTTCGATTTTTGAGAAAGTAAAGTAATCATGTTGGAGAGTTTCTTCGAGATTTGGGAGTGTTTTTCTCGAATGTGAGTAAAGGTTGGGCATGTTTGCTAGTCTACCTTGCCACGAAGCACAGAGGTTGACACACAGGGACTTTCCAATTATCCAGCAGTGGTACTGTTCCTTTACCCTTGTGGGTAATAATATGGTAGCTAGACCTTCAAAATTTATGTGTCTAAACTTTGTTAGTGCTGTTTCTTTGCTATTCTTTTACCCTTCTTGGTCAGAGCGATGTAGTGGGAGCTGCAAGCTTCACGTGCTCAACTTTGGCAGAGAACTTTGGCAAAGTTATCTGTGGTACCCATGAGCTATTGTTGCGTGTGGGAAGTGGGTGATTGAACAGTAAGATTCATGTGCTTTCTACTTCACCAGAAGTCTTCGACAGAATGCCCATAATTTCCGCAAAGCTGAGTGTGCGTGTGACAGGTGCTGACAAGGCTGGAAAAGTAGGTGCCTCTTCGATTTCTGAGATCGGCCCTCGTGGTCTCTGAGCAGCCCAGCTTTTGAGAAAGCGAAGCGCTCTTCGATTTCTGAGATCGGCCTTCGTGGTCTTTGAGCAGCCCAACTTTTGAGAAAGCAAACGCCTCTTCGATTTCTGAGATCGACCCTCGTGGTCTCTGAGCAGCCCAGCTTTTGAGAAAGCAAACGCCTCTTCGATTTCTGAGCAGGCGCCTCTTCGATTTCTGAAGCTTCCGTCGAGTGCAGATTTTTTATAGGGGCTGGCATTAAGTTCCAAAGCACACTTGAATCTCCACCAGTAGAAGCTCCATTCTTGCACTTCTAAGATCTTGATTTGTCCGACCTCTTCTCTCTTCAACACCTTTGAAAATGTCTGGCCCCTCCGACCGTCGTTTTGACTTGAACCTTGTTGAAGAGGCAGCCCCGCCTTCTCCAGACAACATATGGCGCCCATCCTTCGTCTCCCCTACTGGTCCTCTTACCGTTGGGGATTCCGTGATGAAGAATGATATGACCGCTGCGGTGGTGGCCAGGAACCTTCTCACTCCCAAAGATAACAGACTACTTTCCAAACGGTCTGATGAGTTAGCTGTTAAGGATTCTCTGGCTCTCAGTGTTCAGTGTGCAGGTTCTGTGTCTAATATGGCCCAACGCCTATTTGCTCGAACCCGCCAAGTTGAATCATTGGCGGCTGAAGTGATGAGTCTCAAACAGGAGATTAGAGGGCTCAAGCATGAGAATAAACAGTTGCACCGGCTCGCACATGACTATGCTACAAACATGAAGAGGAAGCTTGACCAGATGAAGGAATCTGATGGTCAGGTTTTACTTGATCATCAGAGATTTGTGGGTTTGTTCCAAAGGCATTTATTGCCTTCGTCTTCTGGGGCTGTACCGCGTAATGAAGCTCCAAATGATCAACCTCTGATGCCTCCTCCTTCTAGGGTTCTGTCCAGTACTGAGGCTCCGAAATGATCCCCCTCCGGTGCCTTCTCTTTCTGGGGCTCTACCGACTGCTGAGACTTCTCCTAAGCAACCTTTGTGAAGGCTCCCTCTTGTTTGTTTATTTTTGACTCATGTATATGTACATATTTGTAGCTTATCGGGGATATCAATAAATAAGCTTTCCTTCATTTCAACGTATTGTGTTAAATACACCAAAGCCTTCTTCGCTAAGTTCTTTGAATTTTCTTTTGTTGAAGCTTGTATGTTGAAGCTGGAGCATGTAGGTTGAGGGTAGTGTTCCCTTAATTTCCCGAGTGAGGAAAACTTCTCGGTTGGAGACTTGGAAAATCCAAGTCACTGAGTGGGATCGGCTATATGAATCTTAGAACGCCATTGTGCTCGGTCCTGTGTCATGTCCTTCGTTAGATCCAAGTACTCTAAGTCTTTTCTTAGAGTCTCTTCCAAAGTTTTCCTAGGTCTTCCTCTACCCCTTCGGCCCTGAACCTCTGTCCATAGTCGCATCTTCTAATCGGAGCGTCAGTAGGCCTTCTTTGCACATGTCCAAACCACCGTAACCGATTTTCTCTCATCTTTCCTTCAATTTCGGCTACTCCTACTTTACCCCGGATATCCTCATTCCTAATCTTATCCTTTCTCGTGTGCCCACACATCCAACGAAGCATCCTCATCTCCGCTACACCCATTTTGTGTACGTGTTGATGCTTCACCGCCCAACATTCTGTGCCATACAGCATCGCCGGCCTTATTGCCGTCCTATAAAATTTTCCCTTGAGCTTCAGTGGCATACGGCGGTCACACAACACGCCGGATGCACTCTTCCACTTCATCCATCCAGCTTGTATTCTATGGTTGAGATCTCCATCTAATTCTCCGTTCTTTTGCAAGATAGATCCTAGGTAACGAAAACGGTCGCTCTTTGGTATTTCTTGATCTCCGATCCTCACCCCTAACTCGTTTTGGCCTCCATTTGCACTGAACTTGCACTCCATATATTCTGTCTTTGATCGGCTTAGGCGAAGACCTTTAGATTCCAACACTTCTCTCCAAAGGTTAAGCTTTGCATTTACCCCTTCCTGAGTTTCATCTATCAACACTATATCGTCTGCGAAAAGCATACACCAAGGAATATCATCTTGAATATGTCCTGTTAACTCATCCATTACCAACGCAAAAAGGTAAGGACTTAAGGATGAGCCTTGATGTAATCCTACAGTTATGGGAAAGCTTTCGGTTTGTCCTTCATGAGTTCTTACGGCAGTCTTTGCTCCTTCATACATATCCTTTATAGCTTGGATATATGCTACTCGTACTCCTTTCTTCTCTAAAATCCTCCAAAGAATGTCTCTTGGGACCCTATCATACGCTTTTTCCAAATCTATAAAGACCATGTGTAAATCCTTTTTCCCATCTCTATATCTTTCCATCAATCTTCGTAAGAGATAGATTGCCTCCATGGTTGAGCGCCCTGGCATGAACCCGAATTGGTTGTCCGAAACCCGTGTCTCTTGCCTCAATCTATGCTCAATGACTCTCTCCCAGAGCTTCATTGTATGACTCATTAGCTTAATACCCCTATAGTTCATGCAATTTTGTACGTCGCCCTTATTCTTGTAGATAGGCACCAAAGTGCTCGTTCGCCACTCATTTGGCATCTTCTTCGTTTTCAAAATCCTATTGAAAAGGTCAGTGAGCCATGTTATACCTGTCTCTCCCAAAACTTTCCACACTTCGATTGGTATATCGTCTGGGCCTATTGCTTTTCTATGCTTCATCTTCTTCAAAGCTACAACCACTTCTTCCTTCCGGATTCGACGATAAAAAGAGTAGTTTCTACACTCTTCTGAGTTACTCAACTCCCCTAAAGAAGCACTCCTTTCATGTCCTTCATTGAAAAGATTATGAAAATAACCTCTCCATCTGTCTTTAACCGCGTTCTCTGTAGCAAGAACCTTTCCATCCTCATCCTTGATGCACCTCACTTGGTTTAGGTCCCTTGTCTTCTTTTCCCTTGCTCTAGCTAGTTTATAGATATCCAACTCTCCTTCTTTGGTATCTAGTCGTTTATACATATCGTCGTAAGCCGCTAACTTAGCTTCTCTGACAGCTTTCTTCGCCTCTTGCTTCGCTTTTCTATACCTTTCACCATTTTCATCGGTCCTATCCTTGTATAAGGCTTTACAACATTCCTTCTTAGCCTTCACCTTTGTTTTGTACCTCCTCATTCCACCACCAAGATTCCTTTTGGTGTGGGGCAAAGCCCTTGGACTCTCCTAATACCTCTTTTGCTACTTTTCGGATACAACTAGCCATGGAATCCCACATTTGGCTAGCTTCCCCCTCTCTATCCCACACACACTTGGGTGATTACTTTCTCTTTGAAAATGGCTTGTTTTTTCTTCTTTTAGATTCCACCATCTAGTCCTTGGGCACTTCCAAGTCTTGTTCTTTTTGTCTCACTCTTTTGATATGTACATCCATCACCAACAAGCGATGTTGATTAGCCACGCTCTCTCCTGGTATAAACTTTGCAATCCTTACAAGTTATACGATCCCCTTTCCTCATTAGAAGAAAATCTATTTGTGTTTTTGACGACCCACTCTTGTAGGTGATCACATGTTCTTCTCTCTTCTTAAAGAAGGTGTTGGCTAAGAAGAGATCATATGCCATTGCAAAATCCAAGATAGCTTCCCCATCCTCGTTTCTCTCCCCAAAACCATGGCCACCATGAAAACCTCCATAGTTGCCTGTCTCCCTGCCCACGTGTCCATTTAAATCTCCTCTATAAATAACTTCTCCGTCTGAGCAATTCCTTGCACCAAGTCTCCAAGATCTTCCCAAAATTTCTCCTTCGAACTCGTATCCAACCCTACTTGAGGTGCGTACGCACTAATCACATTGATAAGTTCTTGTCCTATTACAATCTTGATTGCCATGATTCTATCTCCTACCCTCTTGACATCTACAACATCTTGTACCAAGGTCTTGTCCACGATGATGCCAACACCGTTTCTCGTTCTATTTGTGCCCGAATACCAAAGTTTAAACCCTGAGTTTTCTAGATCCTTTGCCTTACTACCAACCCACTTAGTTTCTTGTAGGCACATAATATTTATCCTTCTCCTCACCATAACTTCCACTACTTCCATAGATTTTCCCGTTAAGGTTCCTATATTCCACGTTCCTAAACGCATTTTGCTCTCTTGAACTCTACCCTTCTGTCCTAGCTTCTTCACCCTCCCCCGTCTAATAGGATCAAAGTACTTCTTTTGTGTGTCCCGGGTAAAGCTGATAGGAGCATATGCTCCCAAACAACTTTGAGTGGAGTCGTTCGAAAAGAAGTTTCTATGGCCCCCTTGCTCATTTAACACTGCATCCGGGTGCCGATGGAGATACAGCGACCCTTGCTCACTTATCACTGTGCTCGGGCCGCACAGCGCGCCACTTACGGGTGACGCCCTAGCTTTAGCGCTATTTTGTTCTGGATTCATTTTCATAAGGATTCGACGTGATCATGGAGTGCCGGCTGTCGACTACCTTAATTGAGCACCTACAAAAAAAAAAGTATCTTAAACTTTTGGTCCATGTGAATGTAAGTGTGAGTATGAGTTTTTTTAATTTATTTTTTAACTGATTTTAGTTTTTCATTCCTCCAACTATTCTACGGCCTTATCTGTCTCTCTCATGCATTTCCTGGCTAGCTGCTTAGGTTCTGTAAAACCACGAAAAGTAGAAAGTGGGAGACTGTAAGGTTCAAGTTTTAATTAAGCAAGCTGCAGAGAGCTACTACAGTAGAAAATGTCCCTAAAAGCAACAAAGTGAAAGGGAGAAGAAAGAGAAAGGGTGCTGCAATTAAGGGCAGGTCCCAAACCCAATAAAGAAAAGAAAAAAAGGGCTCAACTAAAGTAGTTCAGGAAATCCAAAAACGACGAAAATGGTGGGAATCCTCATTCCACTGTGCAAATCATCCCACACCGCCACCTCTCTTTCTACTCCTACTTTTCATACCTTCAGCTTTCTCTTCGTTTCTTCTTCATTTCTTCTCCTCTCTCTCGCTCTCTCTCTCTCTCTCTCTCTCTCTCTCTAAGATCTTCTCAGCTTCTGGCATGCAACAACACTACTATGAACAACATCTCTATGGGGTTTTCATGTGGGGATGATTTTGTAAGTCCTCTTTTTCTCTCTCTCACACACACATACACTTTTCCATGGGAAATGATTTTGATCCGCAGTCCGCACTCATTTTCTCCTTCTGCGCAGACTTGTTTAGTGTGCGGAAAATCACTTCCTTTTTTTATCCTTTCCTGGAGTAGTACTCATTGACATGGTTGTTTAATTAGGACGGAGAGGAATGCAAAGCTCCACTTTTATACGAAACGAGGGAGAACCAGCACAGCGGCAGCGGGTGCATGGATGTTCGCAATCATCATCGTCATCATATGCAGGTTGAAGTCGACTTCGAGTTTTGGCCGGTAGAGCATCCTCTCGAGCCACCGGATGAAGATCGCCCTGTCAAATGCCCAATGCCCGACTCTTCCGTCATTAATGTGAGAAAGTAATTCGATCGATTTCATTTCAGCATCCATGAAAATTTTCATCTTATATGTAAAATATTATGAATGCTTTCTCGTCTTGAATAATACAATATACTGAGAAATTTCACTTTCAACCCACTTGAACGACAGGTTCGAAACTCAGGTGAATGACGCGTTCAAAACTTAGTACAATTTGTCATTGTGTGACACGCTAAAATCGTCCCCCGTTAGAATATAGTCTCGCAAAACAGAAAAAAGACGTTTTCTCAGCTGATTAATTCCTTTTTCTTATTATGTTTTTGTTTTGTGTAGATCTTGATGTTATTTTGTTGCTCGAATACATGAACTGAATGGAATTTCTATACAATAAAAAGCAAAAAGTTGAGGCATGTATTTAACCTCTGGCAGTGTTATATATGCAGATTGATTTTGTCTCATGTAAAATGCATTTACAGGAAGGAGGAAGGAAGGAGAAAAGGTTCTCAGAGAGCAATAGCATGCGTAAAAGAACAGAAGCATCATCTGCGGCTGCAGCAGCTTATAGCAATCAAGGGTTAATCGATCAGACGGTGGTGGCAGTGGCAACGCCGCCTCCTGCTCGACCGGTGCGTAAGAGGCACCACCACACTCTCACCCGCGGCGACTGTATGATATCACCTCTACGGAGAATGCCACCTCTTCCTTCTCTCCCAACGCAGAGCATTACTGTCTTTCAAATGCTCCAGCAGTTCGACAAGTTCGACTCTTGAATAAAATCAAACCCAGTTTTTGTTATCATTCAGTCATGAGACGATGGTCCTCTTGATCACAAATATTGTTGCTTCTAGTGTTTCTCACTTATTTTAATAGAAACTGATTTCCGCACACTTGCTCACCTCTCTCGGAGACTTTATTTTTGTCCCTTGATTTTTTTTTTTTTTTTTTTTTTTGGTTCATTCAATCCGAAGACCGAACAAAACAGAAGGTGTGCATGCAGAGGAAAGAGATTGCGGAAATCAGTTTCCTGTTTCAAAGGAAAAGGCATAGAATATGATCACTATCGTTATAAAAATCACGTCCTTGATATAGTAGTATCTGAAAAGAAAAAGATATGAAGAAACAGGGGAGGAAAAAAAGCAAGTTCACCGTCTTCCAGGGGAGGAAAAATGTCAAGAATTATCACCCTCGAGAGTTCTCCAGTCACATTAATCTTTTCTACATCTTCCCGTCCCTTTTTCCACATTCATTTCACAATTAGCAGCTGTAAAACCCTGATACCTGTGAAGTACATTTGGATAGTCGCGCTCCGGTTTCTGAACGAACTTTCATTCAAAAAGTGATATACATAGTGCAACTCCCATGCCAAGTATCAATGCAGTTAATTGTAAAGCCGTGCTTTTCAACGATGAGCTGCCATTGCTGTTCATTTCAGCAAGCACTCCAGCAACAGCAATGTATATAAATCCACCAGCTGTAAAGCCCTGAAAAGAGATTCAACAAAGTAAAAAATATGTTTAATTCCGATCACGCAAGCCGAATATGAACCGAATGTTTAATGCAAAACATTCTCGGGCTAGACTCTTGTCACCTCAATCAAAGATGACCGTCCTGCATTCTGTCCCAAAATCAGAGCCTGCATCAATAGCAACGGATTACTCTCGTTTCAATTATCAAAGATACTAAAATGGAATAACCCTACAACAAAGACAATACTTTACCATTGCGGTTCCAAGTAGTGCCACAAGTGCTGAGAGAAAGTTGAAGAGCAGAGCTTTAGATACGCTGAAACCAGACCTTACGAGAATACCAAAATCACCGACCTGAAACAAAGGTAAACCAAGTTATAAACCTCCCAAGAACTAAACAAGAAGAAGACTGACTAAATGAGACTGTTTAGCCAGCTAGCTATCAAGACTGCCTCTTTGACATGAGACTGTTTAGCCAGCTAGCTATCAAGACTGCCTCTTTGACATAGGAAGATGTTGATGGTTAAAATGCAGACCATTACATATTAACGAACAGAGAGAACTCAAACCTCTTGGGGAATTTCATGCGCAAGCAAGAATAGAGTTCTAGACCACCCACCAACAGATCCATGAAGCAGGAACGCACTCCCTAAAGCCATCCCATCTGTAAAATTGTGCTGCAGTGGCAATACAAATCTTTCAGTAAATAATCTCTATCATGAACCGCATTTTGTTTAAAGAAATACAAGCTTGATTGCAAACAAGAAGTCACATACAACACCATCCGAGAAGAGATTGAGATAGCCAAACACAAGATTTGAGGGTGATTGAGTAGTTTCCCCTTTTGCAGACTTGGCCTCAGAAGTGGAATCATTTGCAGCATCTACATCTTGTTTATCATCACTCCCACCAGTCCTAGTGTTTCTCTGCGTGATGTATATATGGCAATGCTTAAATTGCAGTCTAGTATTTAAAACGTGATCAACAAAATTAGCTTGGGTGCAGAAATCAGATATAAGTAAGATTCATTCAAGATGCATATAAGCCAGCAGATGTCAAGTCTATGGCCAACATTAAATGAAGATGAAAACACACTCTGAAAGACCAATAAGCCAATTAACTGCTTACCTTACGAATATGAGAGTCATGTTGAGTATTTTCGATCAAAGGATCGTTTAAACTATCAGATGCCACTTCTCCATCAGATGTCTTCAGCTTCCTTCCATCTTTTCCATTGGAAGATTCTGAATGCAAGTCATCGTGAGAATCATTATCATCCTTCAGTTTCTTGCTGTTCTTATGATGATGGTGATGATGACCGTGACTCCATGCATTAGTTCCTCCAGAGTTTTCCTCAACATACCTCACTGTCTTTTCTACCAGAAGAAATAATACAATTCCCGCTGTAACAACCAATATAGTACTATTAAAATTCAACTAAAACCCAATCAGCAAGGACATTAACAATGATCAGGTTAAATAACAAGCTCAAAGAAACCAAAAACACCAGAAAACGAAGGAAGGGGTTACAGCCTACAGAGTCATATGGAAGAAGTGATGTGCAAGTAGAAACATTCAAGCACACAGAAACATACATCACATGTACCTGCCCTCAATCACCCGCACAAACACAAATCATGCAGGCACAAAGCATGGTTAAGACAGCATGCAGAACATAGATTAGAACTAAGTACTAACCCAGGACGGATAATCCTACTGAAAGATCTTCCAAAGAATGCGAATGTGAATGCTCATGCGAATGAGAATGGGAATGGCCTTCATGGTGGTCATGCGAGTCGGAGTGCCCTCCTCCTGCAATTATATAAGATTCCGGTTCAACTGCTAATAAATATAAAAGACAAGCATCTTACACGTAATCATCTATTAAGAAATTATACATTTTCGATTAAGGAAATTGAAGAGTTCACTTACACACATCATTATAATTTAAAGCATTGGATTGTTATATGCTCTTCGTAAATTAAGATACAAGAACTTAAGACATAACCAAATCCTTAAAACATCAGATTAGACTGGGTGAAAAAAGATTATATGGGAATAGATTTGTACAGTGTAAAGATGAACTAAAAGCTGACAAATTAGTGCAGGCATCATAAACTAGTCTCCGATTATTGTCTTACCAAGGGCATGCGGTAATTGATGAAGAAAAGCATCCCCCAACATTGCTCCAGCCTGCAAATGAAGTACAAATTAGATTATCAAGTTCCTGTTCCCATCCACATGCTCCAACAATCTATATTGTAGGATACTTAAACCAGGCTAGGCATTGACTTCGAGATACTATTTAATGTCAATTCAAGAGAAAGTTCTGTAAAATTATTGAGGCATACTTAAGAGTATACATGTCAAATTGGTCCAAAAGAGATGCAAACCATATACAATTTGATTAGATTTAAAAACTAGATAAACAGGTCAGAAGAATCTGACCCCAAATATAGCCAACGAATCAACAACTGCCTTGGATGGTTTCCCCTGTACTGCAATAAGCAATAAATTCAGTCCTGGTCATTGGTACGGGCTTCTTGAAGCAGAAGTCATCGCCAATGTCAATAAAAAGATTAACTTACAATTGAGTCACTTACCGAACATCACTGGCAAGATAATCAGGCAGATAAGGGAGGCCATGCTCACCAAAAGCGAGCACCCCAAGGAATGAATCCAGAGACCTATAAACGATGAATAAGAATACAGTTACAGCTCACGCATCTTAGATCAGTTCATTTCGTGTGACACAACAATGCATAAGTAATAGAAAGTATCGGAACAAAATAAAGCAAGGGTTAAAAAGAGTGAGACTTGTATAACAGTTATTCAGCAACACAATTCGCACTTTCGACTGCAAAGAAGATTTCAAACCAAACAAGCATTGTGCTTTCACAATCTGTATCAATACCAAAGCAAAAATTTCCCAGCTTTTGCACTCACCACCACCACTGACTTCTTCAAAATTTCCAATTGTTCAATCCACATACTTAGCAACAAATAATGCACAATTCTGAAAAAAACCCAAAAAATGTAAGAGAAATACCAGCAACTGAGAGCTGCAGAGCACCAAAATGCTCGTGATCGTGATCGTGACCGTGATGGTGAAATTCAAATCCGTACAACTTCATGTCCTCCTCCTCCGCCAATTCCTCGGGAAGCTTCGATCTCGGCAGTAATCTATCCTCCTCCTCGTCGTGGCCGTGGCCGCTGCCGTGACTGTGGCCGTGGTCCTGGTGGTGGTGGTGCGCATGGCTGCAACCCTGGTGGTGAGTGTGAGGCTCGTGAGCGGCAGATGCAGGGAACCCAGAAACAAAACTCAGATCCGAACAGAGCCCAACAACCAAAGCAAGAGCAACCAAGACCAAACCTTTCTTACAAAGCGCCATTTTCTGAGAAACCCCAATTGTCTTGTCGGTTAAGATGGGGGTTTTATTGTAAATATCGAATTTAAGGTCGGTAGTTGGTGTAGTAGTTGAAGCCCGTCCGTCGGGAGGGAGGGTTTAAGAAGAAGGACGGCGCTTGCAAGTACCTTCGATGGTCATAACAACAACTGAAACGAAAAAGAGGATGATTATGCCGACTATAATACCGAATGTCACAGCATCCATCCCCGACTCCCTCTCTCTCTCTCTCTCTCTCTCTCTCTCTCTCTCTCTCTCTCTTTCCTTTTTCGGATTTTTTATTTTCTTTTTCTTTTATTTTTGTTCTCGGAATCCCCAGGAGAGGCTCTGACAGCGCGGTCGGCTCTCACTCCACTCTCTCTCTCTCTCTCTCTTCTCCCCGCAAGTCCACACTCCACACTCCCTATCTGGATTGGCCGCTCCACAAGTCCACTACTTTATGTCATATTTGAGTTTGAGAAATGCAATGCTATCGAGTTATTCAAAATTTACTCTTATGGGATTCTTCAGTTCATATTTTTAATAAAATATTTTATACTATTAGTTTGAGAATTGACGTTAAAATGTGGAATTCGGATTTTTTTCTATTTTGAAAAAGAGGATAACTGATGGTAAGCCACGATTATCCACCCATTCGGAAAGCTAAGAAGACTCACAGAGACATTGCAACCTCCCTCTAACCACAAGTCTAGCTTCTACACCAACAGTGAATTTCGAACAAAAAACCTCCAGTTTTTAATTTGAAGGAAGTCTCACAATCCACTCTTTACCCCTGGACTATCAGCACGTGGTTGTAATGTTTTATTTGAGCCATATGAGTTCTCCATCGTGGATTGTGTGAAACTCGCAATGTTTGAAACTGCTTTTAGAAGTAATGACTGTTTTGAGACAACTAAAAACGTTTCTACTATCATATGTCAAGAAATTTACATGCTTACAATAAAAGCATCTCCAACAAATGCTTCTTAAGGAAGCAGTCTCGAACCAGCCATTCTTTACTGCGATTATTTGGTTTCCGTTTTTACTATGCGATGGTTGGCAGGAAATTCACAAAATCCCATCCTTCCCTTCCCGCAGAGCAGCATGAACTACTAAAGATTCTACAAACAGGCATCTCCAATCAAAACACACTAAAGATTCACCCACATGAAATGGAAAGGTAGCCACCGGAGTGACGAGCCAATATTTACACACGAAAACCAACCGTGAAACACAAGCACGATCCACAATTATACGAAATGGCGAAACACTCTACTGTAACACTTCAGTTGCTCTCTTATATTGACAAGCAAAGACTTCTAAGTTAAACAAGGGGTAATTCCAAGACTACGAGTACTAATTACCTAGGCAGTAGGCAGTAGGCAGTAGGCAGAGTCACCTCTCTCTTCCCATGTAAAATCCTAACAAATTGCAATCATAAAACTAGTAGTGTACAACTCCCTCCATATTCACAAGGTTTCTGCTGCTTTTAGTGAGTGTAAGTTCATCTAGCTTGTAACAGCTGCTGCCTGTTCCTGCACCAAATTCCACGTCTAAATCAAATAAGTCGAGCACAAGATTCATCGGAACTTGGGGACTACGGCTGATATGATATAAACAGTGGGAAAATTAAGTTGATGGTAGCACTACGTACCATTTTCAGTGTTTAAGATCAATCATGAGGGGGGGAGCCCAGCACAGAACCACAAACAGACGTGGAATATGACATTGTATCTTCTTTTGGTATGGACACAAAGTTCAGGGGCGTTGTCGACATTCTTCTCATTTCCTTGAAATATCCATTTTGGCGCCCAGAGTAAGATCGAGGTGTCAAGAGCTCAGGAGTTCCACTGCCAACTGAGTTCCGATGAGGAGTTGGAGGCACGGATCCATTCCCATTTGAACGATATCCATTTGGCTTCCTAAAGCTGGTGCTTTTCCTAGGACTAGGTTTAGACCCATACATGGCTTCTTTCTCTGTAAGGAGCAGATCTTGGAGCTTCTTTTGGTTCTATAAATGGAAAGAATGTTAAAGACATCATCCATATGACCACTTTTTTCTTTTTCGGTAACTCATATCAAAGCATTGTTAGGCCATAATTAAACAAAACCAATTTCTAAATTCATTTGGACAATCTACTTTATTGTCATATCATTTGATAACAATTCACAACAGTTTAGTTAAATTACCCTAGATTTTTTCTTATCCTCTTCTTTTTGCCGCCTGCTCACTTTGTAATCCTCCAGTATCGACACCAGTCGTGCCTGAAAATATTGTTATGGAAGTTTAAGACAGGCGGACACTACACCAAAAACACATCCACGAACTTTTGTTGCAAAAGTAACTCACCCCATCATAAAGAAATAACATCTTCCTCTCGTCTTCCCAGGCCAGAGTTTTGTGTATCAGATTGTCAACAATTGCTGGAAAGAGACCTTGTTAGCTCTACCACTGTTGCATCCTCAGACAAAGAGGCGAATTCTAAAGAAAACAATACCTGGAATTTTGGTTACAGTCACTCTAGCTCGTTCTGCACGTTTGAGGTTAATATGGGCACCTCTCCCTGCACTGTACCGGTTATCATCCTGGAATTCAATTAACAAATTTGTATAAAATGCGTAAAAACTACAAGGCATAATAATCAACCACGGAAACTAAAAGATGGATTTTTGTTTGTGTGTGTATCAAAACTTAAATCCTAATTATGATTCCCTTTCATATCATGGCATGTGGAAAGGCTACCACAACTTCTCAAAGCTTACTTGATTGTAGTCTTCGAGCCAATTTTCCTCTTCACAAGCAAATAACCACCGGTCTATCCTATCCATTATTTCTTTCCGGCTCATAGCCTCTTCTTTAGCTTTGACTATCTGTGCTTCTATGTTTGCCAGAAGTTCAGAAGGATCTACTAGACCTGAACAAAAACAACAATATTTTTCTATAAGAAACAAAAAACAATATTTATACGTCTTTCTGTGTCAAATATATTTAACCTAAGCATCTAATTAACTGGCTTTGAGACAAAGTGAAGTTTCATACCCGAATCTATCAATGCATTTGATTTCTCAGCAGCTGTGCTTATATCAGGTTCAATATGAGCCATTCTGCATACTTCCTCCAGTTCTGCCCGCCTTTTCATAACAAGTTCTTTCATTCTGCTTGCTTTCAATTCAGCGAGTCTCTCCACTTCTGCCGATACCTGTCAAAGAGATGACAAGGAATTTGATATTCAACTTGCAAAAAATTAAAATTAGAAGATGTGGAGATTGATATTCAACCTGTTCAATAATTTCTGTTGAAAGAAGGCCTGGTTCCGTAATTTCTGCTTCTGAAATTCCAAAAATGCGAGTAACCCTTGAAAAGTTATTTCTTTCTTCTTTTGACGAGTCCATCAAATTCCAAAGTTCAAAAAGTGACGCTACAATATCTTTTAGCTGCATTTTGTAACAGGATTATACTTCAGATTCCAAAGTCACAATCAAAATACATGTACAGTATGATCACCGATTACCTTATTGATTCGAGCTTTTCTTTCAGTTTTCAACTTGAGAATAGTCTGTTCTAGGCCTTCCAATGTGCTGTTGCTGATGTTTGTAGACTGTTCAGTGTTTGCCCTGTGCAAGCTAGGATCCACTTCACCCACAGTGTGGCCAAAATCCAAGCCAAGCACACCGCAAAGAGAATGAACCTCGTTTACATGTCCCAAAACCTTGTTGAGGCGGTCAGACTGCAAGCAAATAAAGTATATTCTACATATCAGAACATACAAAACTGCAGGATAAAGCAATCCGTATCATTCCAAGGCATCCAAATGATGCAAACATTTCACGAGGAGTTCAAATTCATATTATGATATAATTACCTTCTCTTTTTGAAGAGTGTGAAGATGTGCTTGATATTCAGTTAGCTTTCTAACCGACAAGTCATGTTCGTCTAGGGTTAACGAACTGACTGGAGCATTGTTGAGATGGTTGTATCCAGATATCTCCCCACTGATCTTCTCAATTTGTGCCTTTATATCTGAAAATTGCTTCATCCTCTCCTCTTTCTTCACTCTTAGATCTTCTACAAGTGGTGCCACAGATGCAAGTTTTTCTTTCAAAGAATTTGCTCGCTTCTCTCTCTGGATCTGAAGATTTTATTTTAGAATCAGATGAACAAGTCAAATAGCAGAGGCACATACAACAGGTCACAGAAATCGGTTAAAAATAGTTCATACTTTTGTTATGTGATATTGTGAGACAGAGAATGGAAGTTTCTAAACATTTTGTAAACTCATCGTGGAAACAGAAAAAGTGGAAGAAACAAATGAATCACCAAGCAGAAAGTTTTTACAAATCATTAAATGGCCCAATTGCAAAAGAGAGCAAACATAGGAGGAGAACAAAAAATTCAAGGATGAAGCCAAGAAATGGTCAAAAGATTATCATTACCAAAATGACAAAGTTCCAATGGATTCCTTACCGGTGAATTAATATTAAGTTCCCCCAGAGAAGCCATGAGAGTTGCAAGCTCAGCTTCTTTGGCTGCAACAGACTGATGAAGGCGTGCCTTGGCATTGGCAGCTTCGTCAACCTTTCTCCTGTAAACATCTAAGCATTCCCTCTCCAACTCTAACAACATGCGGTCTTGGTCTGCTATGCTCTCACCAATGTCATTCCATATTTGCTGCACTCGTTGAAAAAGCCATACACAAAATCAATTATTGTGGAAACACGACTCAGTGGTTTGCAGTATCTTTCTCCTTTTCAACAGGGAAAGAATAAGAAACTTGCAACACAGACTGGGGTCATGAACATCTTATTGACACAAAGAAACCAAATGCTAAGAGGTAAAGCAAATTCAATCAGAAAAACGAAACATCACACACCACACATACTTATCTTCCTCCCATGAATTATTCATCATAAAAAATTGCAGAGTAGAAGCAGATGAGAAAGGTAAAATCCAAAATTCAGATGGAGAAAGAAACACATTTAACTATGGAAACTTGAAAACAAAGTCCATAACCAGAAGTTCTATCAACTGCATTCCCTCTAACTGCCATCCCTGGTAACAATACCAGAGTCTAACACCAATCCAAATTAGGAAGAACCAAAAGACAGTCAACTCTCATGCGCTCATACCCCTCCTAATGCGTGCAACCATTTACGAAAAAAGCTACAAACAAGTTAACAGAACCCTGGTCTAAAAAATCCCAATAGAATAAAGATTACAAAATAAACACATTGTTCTGGAACTATATAATTCAGGAAAACACCCGCCTTTCACCAGACAAAAAAAAAACAAGAAAATCAGTACAAAACAGATAACCCATCAAATTTGGTATATGATTTTGCAAAGAAATTCAAGAGATTGGAGAAGTCTAGTTGAAGGAAAAAATAAAGAATCGGTAAATATTCAAACACTAATTTATAGAAACTATGCTCAATTCACACAGTAAAGAGAAAATGGTAAC